ATTAACTGGCCTGTAGTTTTCTGGATCACTTTTTTCCCTTTCTTAAATATAGGCACTACATTTTCAATTCTCCAGTTATAGGGTATGACCTCCCAAGTTTATGGATTAATTAAAAACCCTTGCTATTGGGCTTGCAATTTCATGCACTAGTTCCTTTAATATTCTGGGCCGGAGATTATCCATGCCCCCCAGTTTGGTCCCATTAGACCAGCAGTTTTAAAACTGTGGGTCAGGACTCCAAAGTGGGTCATGACCCCATTTTAATGGGGTCACCAGGGCTGGCTTAGACTTGCTGGGGCTCAGGACAGAAGCCCAAGCCCCACCACCTGGGACCAAAGCCCAAGGGCTTCAGACTTGGGTGGTAGGGCTCAGGTTACAGGTCCCCTGCCTGGTGCTCATACCCTCGGGCTTCAGCTTTGGCTCCTGCACTAGGGGGGTGGGGGTGGGGCAGGCTCAGGCTTTGGTCCCCCCCCTCCTGGGGTCGTGTAGTAATTTTTGTTGTCAGAAGGGGGTCAAAGTGCAATAAAGTTTGAGAACCCCTGCATTAGACTATTTGAGTTTGGCTTCTGCCTTGGATGTGGTAATTTCTACTGTTGAAAGTGAGGAGTGGGGTCCTGGAGATTCTGCCACAGTAGATGAAGAAAGAATGCTGAAGGGAGCATTTTTTAGTGTGCTTTTTACTGCTGGTGGTACAAAGTTCAGCATGTGCTCACTGCATTGTCTGCTGCCAGATGCATCTCCTGTAAAGTGCCGTGGATACAACAGTGGGCCCTCCTTCACAGAGCTGGGGACTCTTAGGGCAGGTCTACAGTACGGGGTTAAGTCAACCTAAGTTACGCAACTCCAGCTTCGTGAATAACATAGCTGGAGTCGATGTACCTTAGGTCAACTTATTGTGGTATCTACACTGTGCTGGGTTGATGGGAGAAACTTTCCTATAAACTTGCCTTATGCTTCTCGTTCCGGTGGAGTATCGGAGTCGATGGGAGAGCGATAGGCGGTCAATTTAGCAGGTCTTCACTAGGACTCGTGAATGTTGAAAGGTGACTTGTGGGGGGCTAAGTTCCCTCTAAGCTGCGCAGTTGTGCAGCAGGCTATCAAGGGCTGCACAAGCGGGGAGATGCGCTCTTCCCCCGGCTCTGCCCAGCCCAATCCCACTGAAGGTGCCATGGCTGGGGAGAGGTGCCCCTTCCCTGGCCCCGCTGGAGCTGCCGGGGCCAGGGAGAGGCACCCCTCCCACAGCCCAGCCCTGCTGGAGTTGCTGTGGCCGGGGAGAAGGGCCCCGCCCTGCTGGAGCTGCCACGGCTGGGGAGAAGTGCCTCTCCCTCAGCTTAGCCCAGCCAGAGCTGCTGCGGCTGAGGGGAAGGCGCCTCTCACCAGTCCCCGACCTGCTGCGGTGAGAGAGGGCTGAGGGGAGTCCTTTCTCCCCACCACAGCCCTGAGGCAGCCTGCACCCCAAACCCCTCATCCCTGGCCCCACTCCAGAGCCCTCACACCCCCAGCCAGAGCCCGCACCCCAACCCTCTGCCCTGAGCCCAATCCCCTCTTCCCCTTTCCCCACCCATAGCCTGCACCCCTAGCCAGAGCCCTCCCCCTCCCCCCGAATCCCAACCCTCTGCCCCAGTCCTGAGTCCCCTCCCACACTCCAAACCCCTTAGCTCCACCCCTGCCACGCATCACCTCCATATTGGTGTCCATTACAAAATTCATTTTGCACATGGACGTAAAAAGTTAGAGGGAACACTGGTGGGGGGTATTTATCATGAAGCATTGGAGATATGTCTTCAGGTTTCACATCTGTTGTTCTGGTGGGGTCTGGTGCCACTTTGAGTAAGTCTGTCCTGGTCTGTGCGGAGTTTGCTTCTGATGGTGAGATTGGAAAAGTTGGGGGGTTCTTTGAAGCCCAGAAAGGGGATTCTGGAAAGATTTTTTTCAGAATGTGATCCCCATCAAATGTGGGTTGAAATTGTTTGATGATACTCTATATGGGCTCCAGTGTAAAAAAAAAAACCTGGATGGAGTATATTTCTGGCATGAATGTAAACATTAAGAGCCCTAGATCCCACGAGACACCCATTATTGCCAAGGGTTCTAGCATAGTTTTGCGGATCCCAAAGATTTAGTATAGAGAAGGTAAGGATAAGTTTTTTGGATGTTTATCTGAACAGAACCTCTAAACCCTTCACAGATCTTTCTCTCTCATTACTATTGCTTTTTAAGCAGCTGTCAGGATTTACTGCAGATGGGAAAATAGCTTTCCTTCACCCCCTCACCCTCTGTTGCCAAATATGTAATTAGCTAAAGAAACAGTTCCTGTAAAATTGTTTTTCATTAAGCACATACACGCTTTGAAATGTGCATTAAAGTTCAGTTCCAATCCAGCAAAACACTTAAGCACATCAGTAACTTTAAACGTGTGTAGTCCTGTAGGCCACAATGGTGTACATGTGCGCTTAAGTGCTGGATCAGGGCCTAACATACTTTGTGATACACAAACAAACAAAAAGCCTAACAATCTGTACTGTCTTGGTACAACACCATGTTTCCAGGGCTGGACTGGAAGGTACAAGCATCCTAAATAATCCAGTCATACTGCCCATTCAATTTACCAGGTCAAACACACACACACACACACACACACACACACACACACACACCACATTGAGTGGCTCAATCCTCCTCTTTCAATGAGAATTACTTATAATGTATACAGGTAAATGCAGGAGACTAATACTTAATTTCAGGAAAGATATTAGGGGCTGTATCCTAGGCTTTATCTACACTAGAAAGGGTTTGCTAGTATAACTATACTGGTATAGCTCTAGTAGCAAACACTCCTAATGGAGACAGTTTATATTTGCAAAAGTGTTTGTTTTCCAGTATAGTTTATACCAGTTCCATGAATTAAATATGCTATTGTGACGGTCTAAACCTCTGTGTTCATCCCTTTTACAGGATTATGAAAAATTTTGTACAAAGTATGCCTTGTTAGGTATCATTTGAAAACACATATTTTGCTGATCATTATTGTCCTGGTAAAACATGTGTGGCAACATTGTATGTAAGCTTAAAAGATTCCTCTGTATGGTATTGCTCTGACACGCTCAAAGTCTGGGGAGCAGCCACAAACCAATTCCTCAGAGATAAAAGGTAAGCTGACACCTCAGCCTGGTGTCAATGAAATCAAATGGACCACCACCTGGTTAAGTGGCCACTCTTCGGCAGAAAAGAGGGTCTGGGGAAAAAAATCTACATCTTGACAAAGAAACAACTTGGGGTTCCTGTCCCATTTCTGTCTCCTGAACCCCAGCTGGGGATGCTTCTTGAAGAAGAAAAGACTGTAAGAAGGGAAAGCAAATGCCTCAAAGGATTTCTCTCTTTCTTTCGATCCATGGCATCCACTTTACCTGAAGAACAAAGGAAGCGGCATTGGACTGGGGGAAGAATCCTGACTGAAAGAAGTTCAGCCAGTAAGACTGCTGAAGCATGAGATGAATTCACTCTAAGTTGTTAAGTTAGGCATTTGTTACATTTTATTTTTATTTGTCTTCTAACCACTTCTGACTTTTATGCCTTATTACTTATACTCACTTAAAATCTATCTTTTGTAGTTAATACACTTGTTTTATTGATTTATCTAAACTAATGTGTTTAAATTGAAGTGTTTGGGAAACTATTTGAAATAACATGATATGTGCATATCATTTTTTTTCATATAATGATGGATTTTATATGACCTTATATTGTCCAGCAGGGTGGTGGGCAGCATAAGACATACATTTCTGGGGAAAGTCTGGGAGTGGGAGTTTGCTGGTGTTGCCCTGCAGTGTAATTCAAGAGTGGCTGACAGCAGCAATCATACACTTATAACTGGGAGTAACTTACATGCTGGAGGCTGTGTGTGAGCGGACCGGGAGTGGTAAAGCAGTGTAAAGGGCACCCCAGACTGGAGAATTGAGAGGACACAGCTACCCATCAGTCCAGATTGTACCCTGGGCATGTCACAGCTATCCTGGCAAAAGGACCTTCTTTCCAGTATACCTGCATCTATACTGGCAAAAAGCCCTAGTGTAGCTGTGTTTGTTAGAGGTATGATTTTTTTTCATACTCTGAAGCGACATAATTATACTAGCAAAACTTTTAAGTGTAGAGCAGGCCCTAGTCACATTACAGACGTGGGAGTTTTGTCTAAGTCAAGAAGTTTCTTCCTGCATGGTACCTGTGGGTAGTATGGAGAAGATTGTTTTCCTTAGATTATATCCAAAGTTATCCAGGCAGCCTCCACTATATTGGTTTGGGAAGGTCTATTAAGGTTCATTACTTGGTATAGTTTCTGGTCTTCCAAGAAGTGAGACATTTTCCCCAAGATATACCTATGTATTGATTATGAATGACTGAGCTAGTTCTGATTTGCACTGCATTCAAACAAGTTAGTTTCCCTTGTTTTGAGTTGATACCTACGCTGAGTTTTTTACTACAAAATAAACCAATATAACAACTTCGGTAATGCAAGTAAAAAGGGAAAATAATAAGTGTACACACATTAGGGAGGCTTTGCCAACGTTTTTGTATTCACTAGTACTAGGAGAGCAGCAGAAACATAAATCAATCAATCTAAAGTGTGTGTGTGTATGTGTGTGTGTGTGTGTGTGTGAGAGAGAGAGAGAGTGTGTCCTTGCACACTTTGCCTCCTGATGAACTGCTCATGAGTTACCTGACTCATCTTCAACTGTCTGTCACCTGAACAGACTGATAATTATTCCTAATGATCACTGTGACGTTCCCCAGGGGTACCCAGGGTTGTGAGGCACCTCACCACCACCTGCTCGTAGCATGAAGCAGTCTTGTCTTTGTAGGGTGACCAGATCACTGACGGGAAATATCGGGACGCGGGGAGGGGGGAGAAGGGGGGGATAGCGGGACGCGTGGGGGGAGGGGTGGAGCAAAAAAAAAAGTTTAAAAAAAAAAAAGCTGTTTTGCAGGTGCCGGCTGCGCCGTGGCTGTTGCCCCTCCCCCCCTCCCCCAGGGCACATGGGGCACGTCCCGCCGCCCCACGGGGAAGGAGTCGCTGGAGCGAGAGGCGCGGGGCTCCGGACCCCGGCAGAGTGTTTTCTTCCTGCAGTGTCTAGCCCCCATCACTGGACACTCTCAGAAATTACCAGGTGAGCCATCCCTGAAGGAACAGTGTACAAATTAAGCTGGTCCAACTCAAGATCATACTCTTTATAACATCACAGCACTGCAATATATTTCTAGGGAAACAATCATCAGTTTATTATCAAAGGTTTAGTTTCAAGAGATAGTGAGCAAGGACAAGTGCAAATAGAAATGGTTATACATAGAAAACAAAACATAAAACACAATTCTGGGGCTACACTTATCAATGTAGACTTAATAAAGGAGATTTTCTCCCAAGGATTCAGTCTTTGGCAGAGTTGCTAGTTTTCGGTCAAAAGCAGGATCCACGCATTCATGAACACCCCACACTCTCCAATGGGGTGAATAGATAACAAAGGTCTGTCTTGACCCCCCCCCCCCAGTAAACTTTTCATGTGCACCCTCAGATAAGATTCTTCTCCCCAATTGTTATTTTTCTGGTTGATTTCACATCTCTGTTCTTTATTAGCATTCAGTTCAGACCAGTCGTAGCACGGCGCAGTTCACTCCTTGCCCTAAAGAAACAAGTTCAGAATTCATTAGTTGGATATCCACACTGTGCTGTTTGTTTATGTTCCCTCCACCGATATCTTGACAGTTTCATGTGACGATACTATATACAATGTCCCTTGTATCATCAGCCCTTTTCTCAGGGCCCAAGAGGAGAAAAGGTCTCCTTTGGTTAAGATCTCTCTGTCTCTAGGCTCAGCTAGCCTAGCTCAGACTCTCCCTTGCATGGCCTTCCTGTGCCTTTTTATTTATCAGTCCTCAACTGATGGGCTAATTAATCCTTCAATTCACCCAGCCTACTATCCTGATTAATTACATTTCATTCTCCAATCAGACCTCTCTCGGAGAGCCAATTAGTGCCAGAGTGATCAGAGTGCAGGCTCACCTGTGAACTCCCTGCACTCTGTCGCACCAGTGATGGGAAGCCCATTGTGAAACAATACAATACTTAATTTACATGCCAATTAGCTAGATGGACAAACATTCCTAGTCTGAGAGAGAACTTCTCTCTGCTGGTAACTCATACTTTGAGACAGACTCTCAGGATATATTTTCCTTAAATATCATCCACAAATACATCATGCAATGTTATTAATGACAAGCATGATCCTGGCTTTCATTAAAGATCTCACATGACATCCTTTATAGATAAATACTATGACAGCTATGTGTTGAGTGCAATGAGTTTGTCAGAACTGTTAGGAGTTGTTGACACAGCAAAGTGAACCCTTTTCCAGCTGGCAATGGGCCTCTCTGCGTTTCACTGTTGCACTGAAAAATTCTGCCCTGTAGAAAAGGTGAACCAAATTTCCTACGCTGTCATGTATTTTTGTATCAGAACATTTGTGGAACTTTGCGGATATCAGTAATGCATTTAAAAAAATATTATTGATGATAAAATGACACACATCCAACTGTCAGAAAGAAAGAAATTGTCAGTTTCAGTAATAATTTTGACTAGGTTTCTGCATTGAACTCCATCTCTTTTGCCATTGTCATACATGTTTCTATAAGACACGGTCTAGATCACAGTTCTGTGCCCCATTTGTATTACTTCTCTGAGGATGTTAGGTTAACTTTACTATCTTTTTCATTCCCCACTGCAGCAAACCACCTGGCTTTGTTAGGAAATATGGCATTACTTGTGGCACTCATTCTCTGCTGTTCACGGCCATGTTTGTATGACACTGATTTAATACTGACACTGGATTAATTCACTAACATTTTTTTCAATTATTTTTCTTTGTATTTTCATACTAAATTCAGAGGTCAGAAAGAGTCTAATTTTAAACAAGAGCAATGCAATCTAAGGCTTTTTCCCTTAGGATGTTCATTATACCTTTTTACCTTGCTTTGTGCTTCCCCTAATCTTCAAGAAATTGTTCATTGTGGCCATGGAAGACTATCAACACCACTCCTCAGTTGGCTGGAGAGGTTGATGTTGACCAAAGGCCCCATCTTCTCACCAGCGCTGCACGAACCATCACCACAGCCCTTCTATGAGGTATTTTAATCTTCTATATTGGCCTGATTTCCCTAATCTCATCTCAACAAACAGGAAATGATGCTATCCACCCCTTGTTAGCTCCAGGGCAGGGAAAGATGACCTTGGAGGAAGTGAATGATGGGAAGGGATAGGAAGAAGGGCATTTTCCTCAGTTCTGCTGTTTTTTCCAAGGATAAACTAAATATCCTATATTCACACGAGTTTAAAATAAACTACGGTGTGTAAATTGGCACATACAAACTGTCAAGAGAAGGTCAGTGTGTAGGATAATGAAGTTCGAGACACCAGACTATACAGTCAGAATGTAGAAAAGTGAATATACATTCTGGAGTGTCTGAAGGACTGTGGGTCCTGTTACGTGCGGAATAATGCATAAAGAGTTTAGTAATGGCATAGCCAGACAAACTTTCTATGTGTTGATCAAAGACTTTCTACCAAAGGAAGAATAACAAAAGATTGACCTTCCTGTTTTACCAAGTGTGTCCAGCTTTTCCAAAGGAAATTCTTGGTCTTAACTTCCTTGTGTATTTCCTTACCACTTCCTTCTAGCCCGCACTGTTTTAAAAATGAAGTCTGTGGAACAAATTACCTACTTAATAATGAAATAAGTGCTTCACATTTGAATAAGATAGACTTGTGTCCTAGTGTCGGTGTGTATTTTAATTATAAATAGAGCACCAATGTTTACCATATGAGGTAGGGGTTGCTATGGTACGTATCCATGTTTATTAAATAGTAAATAGCAGAGTACATTTTTTGGAATTGTCTCCCTCTGGGAGATGCTTATTTTCATAAAAGGTCAAACTGCACAGTGTTAAATGCATATATGTAATTACACTAACAGCTTCTGTGGAAAATGAATGGGACTTTCTTACCTCTTCATTATTCAGTAATGAAGAGGTAAGAAAAATTCCAAAATATTCATAATAGAAATGATATATATCCTTTTCAGACTTTAAAGTCTGATTAACTCTGCTAAAGCTGTCCCCAAGCTCACAGGAAAAAGGAGGAGGCTTGGCTATAAGGTAATCCCTCACTTCGTAAATTCAACAATTACTATCTAAATGATAGTGTGATGGGGTGTCTACCCCATATAGGTGTAAAAGGATTTACTTCCGAGTGTGAGCAGTGGAGGTGAGTCCTCCAAGCAGCCCAGAGAGGCTGTGTTGGGCACAACCAATCAGGGCCCAGTGGGCTCACATAAAAGAAGCTGCTCGGATGGAGTAGGCAGTGGCTGTTGGGAGCTCAGGAGTCAGGAATTTGTCTCTAGCAGGCTGAGAATCCTGTGGCACCATGGACAGAGTAGTTGCTGGCAGGGAGCAGGGGAGCAAGAGGGAGTTACTGGCTGGCTGCTATGACTGACATGCTGAGGCCCTGAGGTAAGGGTGAAGAAGGTGGCTCAGGCAAACCTATTGAACTGTTGGAGGGGACACAGCACGTGGTTGCCATCTACAAGGTCTCTGGGCTGAGACCAAAAGTAGTGGGTGGGCCTGGGTCTCCCCCACTCACCATTGCAGGAGTGGCTGGACTATTAGAATAAGATACTAACCCCCGGAAGGAGGGAACACAGATGTTGACACAGCTAAAGGGCTGAGTCGTGAAAAGGCGCTGCGGTTCCTGGTGCTGTGAGAGGGGCTGCAGTCAAACTCAGACAGAGAGTGGTGGCGTGCAAGCTGCAGACAGGGGCACCAGCCTCTAGCTAATCCCCAGAGTGACCAGGAGGAGGTGCCAATCCAGCAGTGAGAGATGTGCCCCGTGACAGATAGTGCTATGAGAAGCTGATCTGGGTGAGGACTAAGAGCCTATTATCTAACTGAATATAGAAGAGCAATCAAACCTGAAAGGAAGCTCTGTACTTAGGGTTTAATCCTACAAATCCATACTCATGAGTGTGTTCCCATTGACCTCAGTGAGACTATCTGTGCAAGGGCTTACAGGATTGGGCTTTGATGAGGTTAGTACTCACTTCCAAGGAAAGAATGAAACCAGGATTCTGGATGGCTCTAGCGTTTGGTAATATGACACAAAGCCTTTCACCTGTAGACCACTGCTTTGAATCTGTCACAGATGATTGAAAGTCTTTGCTATAAGAAATTTCATACAAGAAGTCCCAAACCATGTTGGAAGAACAGTTATGTACTTAAGTTAGGAAACGCCAAAATTAAGGTTGTCGCTCAACTTTAATTCTGCCCCCTTGTGCCAATGCCTTACAATGAAGTCTTTAATTATGGGATCACATATTACTTCTCAGACAGTACAATATATCAAATGGCTTTTTCATCTGCAGAAATCTTGCCTTGTTCCACAGGAATCCTATTTCAACCTCAGTGCACCTAAAAAGCTGCACAGAGACTAAGTCAAGGAACCCACAAGCTAAGCAAGTATTTAAATGTGGCATAGCACATCATGTCATCATGATCAAAATTTAGCTCAGTTGAAAACATCTTTCATGAAACCTGATATATGTGAAAATACCAGACCAAAAAGGATGTTTGTATTTGAACTATGGAGAAACTTCAGTGCCTTAAGTAACCTAGAATGACAATGTTAGTGAATGCTAGTGATGGATGAAACAGTTTAAAAAACAAATAGGATTCAGAGTGCCATGGGGTCAGCTAACCCCCTTCTTAGCATTTGGTGAGTCTTGTCTCAATGTCCCCTCTTGGATGAATTCATATGCTTCCAGGCATTTCAAAATAACTTTCTCCCTCTTAGAGTCTCATTTATTACATCACAAAACAAAATATACATTGACTATTCCTTTGGCCCTTCCAGCACCGGTACTTCCCCCCAATTCTCTCTTTAACACACAATTGCTTTCTGTTTTGCAGCACTGGACATAACAGAACACAGTTCTGTCCCAAAGTCAGGTCCTGTTGGCTGGCCTTTTCTAAAGCCTCCCCTGCAGGTATCTCCCCAGCTCTCTTCACTAGGAGCCATTTGAATCTTGGCAAGCTTCCTTAGCCTACCAGTATCCTGGCTAATGTTAGAGACTCTTCCTGCTCCTTGTAGGTTTCCTCTTCTGTGTGAACAGGTAGCCCCTGTACAGGCTGGGCTTGGTCACCTGACTTGTGCACAGGCCTGAGTTTTGAAACAGGACGCTGAAACATGCACAAGAAACCTTGGTCCTTACACTAGTTATGAATAAACCATGAATAATGGATACTAATATATTGAACAGACAGTAGTCCAATATGAGCCTTCTGTTGGAGTAGGTAGGATTCAGGTAACAGATACACTTGTTCTCTGTAATAGTATTGGAAAATAAAAAGTGTCAGTGAAGCCATATTGTGCGCTATGAGAAAGAATGCATTTGTAGGTAGAGGACAGCCTAAACATCCTATGATTACTTGGATTACAAAAAGCCAGTGAATAGCATCTAAAGCTTTTATAGAACTGTAGCATACAGGATGGCTGTTTGCTGGTGTATAGGAAAAATTAGTAGGCTTAAACTTTGGTCAAGAGAACTGTGTACATGGTCAGGTGGCTAAAGGAGAGAGAGGAAAATTACTAACAAGACACAATTGCAACAGCTAATCTAGCTCAATGTAACTGCAATAACTAGCGTTAGGAAAGCCATTAACTTCAAAAGAACAACCTGTAAATAACAGGAAATGCTTGTTTTTGCTGTATTCCTAATAAGGGAAAATATTAATAAAGTATGTGTAACTAAATGTGGTTTTCATCTATATAATCTTGTGTGTTCCCTTTCTCGGGAGAGCAGCTAAACTGGCTGGCTCTCTCTGCATGCTTGTAATAAAGGAGCCTCAGGCTGTTCTGATCCAAACACAACGCGTGGTAATTTTTCCACAACAATTCTTGTTGCCGTGACTCGGATCCACGGCATGCCACTGGACAGGAGGACTGCAGACCGTTCCCCACTGGACCCAGGCGCCGTCTGAAAGGTAGGAGACCTTTTAAATCTCTATGTTGGGTACTGGTGGAGGACGGCCTGTAGGCTCTGGTTTTGAGTGAGTTGCACACTGGATCGGGACCTTTTGCTGCCAGACATGCCTGACACCCTTCTGGTTGCCCTGGGAAGAGCCAGGTGGGTGGCTCAGTGGGACTTTGTTTCTGTGTGCCAGCGTGAGTGAGGGTCACAGGAAGACGTCCAGAGCTCTCTGCAAAGCCCACCAGCTCGTAACCGGAGATGTCTCTAATGCAAGCCCTGGAACCGCAACTAGTAGGGCCGAAGAGAGGGCCTTGACCGAGGCAGTCTCGCTCTGCATGGCTTGACCTGCGAGGGGCCTGCCTGGGTCTAGGATTGTGTGACCCTATCCTTTCCCGTCCTCGAACGGCCCTTTCCCGTGACCTCTTTCCTCCCCTGTCTCTGCCCCCGCCTGAAGGTGGTTCATAAGCCACTGACTGGTCTGATCACCTCACCTGAAGCATCAGAGTAAGCGGCGCCATTCTCTCTGAGACTAGCCGACGCTCTTTGCTGAAGGGGGCTGTAGAAGAGTCGTGGATGTCCTAAATAAGCCTTCCCTGTGTAAGTGACTCGAGTGAAAGTAATCCAGATACTGGGGGCCAGAGGGTCCAAGGTGATATGTGCCTCACCAGGAACTGGGAAAAATGGGAGCCGGTGGGTCCAAAGGGACAACCGCCTTGCCAAAAGGCACACCTGTGTATTACATGTACACAAATTACAGTCCTTTCACTTGCAAGTTTCTGAACAAATGGAATTGGTATACCAAAGACGATTCAAAATTGCAGTTTTCCCTAGGGGGAAGTTTTGACCTTGACAAGATTGTGCACCTCAAAGGCGCACTTCTGGCCAATAAAGTCGGGCAAGGTCAGTTTAAGGCATATTTCAATTGGTATGGAAAAACAGAAAAACAGCGCTGTAAATCTCAAATGAGGAGTCTCAAGGACTCCCAGGAGAAACTTAAAACACAATTAAAAAAGGCAAGGGAGAAACTGGCTCCTCCCCAAACTCTTGCTGGCCAGCAGATACCTCTCTACCCTTCAAGGCTTCTTCGGGGAACCCCCTCAGCCCCACCTGAAAATATTATAGACCTATATTTAGAGTCCAGACAATTGGTTGCACCACCTGCTCAAGTTGGTGGTGAACCGTCCAATCGGGCCGGAACTGCGCAGGGCGGTGAAGGATCGCCCGGCCAGGCTGGAACTGGTTGAGAGGCCCCCAAGCGACCTCCACCGCCATATAACCTGAAAGCTGACTCCACTGTCCAGGAGCTCCCACCCCAAGCAAAAACCTCGCTGTCATCTTCTGTTTCACGTTTAGAGTCCTCAACAAGCCCAATCAGTGCCTTAGAACATACGGCTCACTGTCTGTATGACCAGTTAAAAGAACTGATACATTTAAATTCAACTGGGCCGGTGAAAAATACTAGATGACAAAAACTCCTCACGTCCACCCCTCAAACCCTGTGTCCCCATAATAAAACAGTATTCCCCTTGCGCCAACTCCCGGGCATAGGCGCTTCGGGTCAGGGAACGTTGGTGTCTGTGCACGCACCTTGGTCTCCCACAGATTTGTATAATTTAACTAAAAAGTTTCCAAAAATACGAGAAGACCCTGTTAGTTTTTAATTCTTTTTGGAATTTGTCATAAGCTGTTATAACCCCACCTGGGCAGACTTAAACCAACTCCTAAGAGGAGTCTTGCCCAGGGAAACATTAAATCGTATTTATAAGGTAGCCCGCGGATGACCCAGGCCATGATCAGATCAAAATAGATGAAATTTGAGACAGACTGCTAAATGCAGTCCTCACAGTCTCCCCAAAGAAAGCAGACTGGACCAAAATTAGCACCTGTAAACAAAATAAAGGAAAAAACCCTGCTAATTCTATGCAATGCCTCAAGCAAGTATTCAAAAGACATTCCGGTATAGACAATGCCGAGCAAGATGCCAGACAAGCCATGGTAACTGCTTTTGTTCAGGGACTCAATCCACAAATTGACATTGTAGAATGGGAAGAAAAAAATCTAGATAAAATTTTAGCAGCTGCCCAACATTATCACTGCCAACTAAAACAAAAAAAGGATGCCACGAAAATTAAATTAATGGCCCTCCAGGTCCAAAACGTGCAGAAACCTCGCAACAATTGCCCATTGCGGGGAAAAGGAGGGGGGGGGGGCAAATCGTAATTCCTTCTTCTGCCCACCTTCCCAAAAACAAACTAATAGCATGTGTCACTATTGCAAGCAAAAGGGCCACTGAAAAAATAATTGTCCCTACTGGCCTAACCAATCCACTAATCCTGTCTTTCCACCGTCATCCTCTTCCCCAGCCCCTTTACTCCATCAAAGCTGTTAGGATAGCCAGGAGACTGGTAACGTCATCGCTTTGCTTATTCTGTTGAACCAAATTGGACCATATGTAACCTGTGTAATTAATGGCACCCCTACCTCCCGCCTGCTAGATACTGGTGCTTCGTGGTCTACTCTCTGTGCCAGCGACTTCCCCTCCCTCCCTGTAATGTCTGAGATAGTGAATGCAGTAGGGGTGGGCAATACTCCTATTCCCCACCCCGTTTCTTCACCATTGTCTGTTTCTATCGGTCCTCTGCCTGACCGTCATGCTTTCCTCCTCAGTTCTTTCTCACCGGTTAACCTTTTGGGAAAAAACTTGCTCTGTAAATTAAATTGTACCATCTATTGTACCCCAGGAGGCGTGTATTTAGATGTGCCTGGTCCTAGTCACGATAAGGTCCTGGTAGTCTTACAGGTGGATGCTAAAAAGGAGGAAACCGACCCCAGCCCTTCCTTGTTGTAACAAAAATTGCTGGCTAAGGTCCCTCCCTCCTTGTGGGCTAATCATGCCAACCAGGTTGGGTATATTGTGTCTGCCCAACCAGTTAAAATTCATCTAAACTCAGCAAAACCCCTTCCCAGGGTGCAGCAGTACCCACTCTCAAAACAGGCCGAGGAAGAAATTCAACCAGTAATCACCTCCTTAATCGTGCAAGGAGTCATTATACCTATGGTCAGTGTATGTAACTCCCCCGTTTTACCTGTAAAAAATCCTTGCAAACAAGCTTGGCATTTTGTCTAAAATCTCCATGCTGTTAATGCTGCTGTTCTCCCTAACTTCCCCGTTGTCCCTAATCCTGCTACTATCCTTTCCTGCATTCCCCTTTCCGCCGTTTATTTTATGGTTATTAACCTCTGTTCACCTTTCTTCTCAATCCCTATTCATAAAAATAGCCAGTATCTGTTTGCCTTTACTTACCAAGGGCTTCAATATAGTTGGACCAGGTTACCCCAGGGCTACACCAAATCGTCCACCTTGTCCTCCCAGATCCTCAAAAAGAATCTGGACAACATTAAATTCCCCATGGGGTCCCCTCTGGTCCAGTATGTAAATAACCTGCTCCTGGCATCATCTTCACTAAAAGCCTCCAAAACCGATTCCCTTGTACTCTTGCAAGCTCTAGCCCAGAAGGGCCACAAAGCCTCCAAATCTAAACTACAGCTCTGCTTGCCAAGGGTCCATTATTTGGAACATAATATTTCAGCTGAAAAAAGGCACTTGTCCTCTTTGCAAGTACAAGCCATTCTCCAGGTCCCCAAACCAACTACTAAAAAGCAAATGCGTGGCTTTTTAGGCATGGCCGGGTATTGCCAACAATGAATCCTTGGGTATGCAGCCCTTGTCAAACCTCTGCAAAAACTAACCCTTAACAAGGTCCAAAAGCCCCTTCCATGGTCCCCTAAAGCCAAAAAAGCCTTTACTCAAATTAAAAAAGCCCTCACCAAATACCCTGCCTTGGGCCTACCAAACTATCAAAAGCCCTTTACTTTCTACTGCCATGAAAAGGAGGGAATAGCCTTAGGGGTCCTTACTCAGGACTTAGGGGTCCTTACTGTCCATGTCCATGTCGACACTAAAAATTCCCCATTGTGCTCTATTACAGGAATGGGTGGATGAGGTTCTGTGGCCAGCAGTGTGCAAGTGGTCAGACTAGATAATCATGATGGTCCCTTCTGGCCTTAAAGTCTGAGCCTGAGATCCACTCCAATTTCAAAGAGGAGTAGATCAAAGCACTTAAGGGGGCTTTCAGCATGTGGCAGCAGGGGCCACATGGACAGTGAGTGTGAGACAGGCTAGTAGTGGATGGTAGGTTTGCACCCCAGCATGCCGTACATTAACTGTTTGTACAGACAAGCCCTAAGATATTTGTCACAGCAGAGTGCTCTGCTTTATCTACTCCATGAGCTAAACTTGCATTGTTCTTCTATATGGATGTTCTGCTCTTATTTCTCAGGCTTTTCTGATCACTTTGATGTGATGAAGCAGTATAAAAGTAGTACAGAGAAGAAAAAAGCAGATTGGCATATTTTTGCTTTTAAATGGAGAGTCACTCTAGTTATTAAAGAACACTGCTAAATTTAGACATAAGATCAATGTTCACGTGCACGGCTTAAATTACCTGTAAATCATTGGGGATTTAGGAATTTCCTAAAAATAAAAAAATACAGATAATTACTGGCTTCTCAGATAGCTAAGAGAGAGCCAAAATTCTGAAATACAAATTTTGCACTCTCATTTGAAAGGAAAAGGGTCTGCTCTTTCTGTTTTGTTGCTATAACTGTAGCTGTTAGCCAATTTGCCTCAAACCTGGATCCTGTGTCAGGATCCTGGAAGAACAGGGTATTGAGGGAAGTTAGGGGTGCTTATAATGTTGCCCATATGTGTATATTTTGGATTTCAAATGGGAAGGCACTTTATTCTAGTTTTAATTTAGCTTTAGGAAACTTATTCATCAAAAGTACTATTCTAATCCCAAACCTCTTATCTCTTCCACAGGTCATATGCTACTGTATGTATGCTTTTTCACTTCTTCCTTCCTTCTCTTCCTGAATGCTGTCCTTATCTAGGAAATTCCCCCTTGCAAAGCCAGACTACAATGCTTCCAGCATGCCATGCATATCTTACATACTGTCCCAAGAGTCAGCTGCAGAATTGCCATTTGTCTGTTGTCAAATCAATGAAAATAGATTTTCAGTCCTCCAAATATGAATAATATCAGTTCTTGAGCTGTGATTGGCTTGATTAGCCTGTTCTGCATGTGCCAGGAGAAAACGGAGGGGATGGAGCTTCAAAAATATGGCTAAATAGTTTGCTGCTCCTATTAAACCAAATAAACCAGTTCTGAATCCACTCATGGATTTCAGAGGAAAGTTCTCTGCCACTGTTAGGCAAAGGCCAAATGCTACAATTCTCTGATGTTTAACAAGAATGTTCAGAAGACTGGCTGGATGGAGGCATTCTGAGACCTAGCAGTTCTGGGTCTTTGATGAAAATGTCCATGAAGTAGTTGATAACATTTCATTCAACTTCCTCTATTCTTTCCTACTTTCTTTACCGTTCTACTTATTATAGCATGATGAGTGGCAGTCAGTGGCTCTGAGGATTGGGAAATTCTGGGAGCAGGCAGCAGAAACTTCTCTTCACTTGCTGCTGATGAGAAAATTGGTGATTCATTATAGTATGCCTTGTTGTGAAGTATCCTGGCCTTTAGAAATTGTTGCCTAATTTAATAGAAAAAGCCATTCTCTGAAATGAAATGAAATTTGATTCACTTTGTCTGGAAGATATTCATGTTTAGCTAATTGTTGCTATTGTATTTATGTAAAGGTTATGCCAAGCCTGGAAGAGGGTTGTAAGGAATATGGGTTGTAAGAGAAACTGGTTATGCAAGATCAGTTGCTTGATTAAAGGCATGCTGAATCCAACAGTTGTTTTATATCTGTCACTGATATATAGTTCATGATGATCATATTGGTGTTGATGGTGGATTAATTCCACAGTGACTCATCATCTCCCTCCTTGCTTTTTATCTGCACCTTCTGTGGCTGTTCCTCTTTGACTTTATTCATTACTTGGCAGTGAACATTGTAGTGAAAATGTTGATATAACTCTTGAGGTGTATTTTCTGCATGTTGTAATTTCTGCACTCACCAGTAAAATAGCATCTGTAGGAAGCAAATATGCAGCCCAATGACAAAATGGTAACTGTAGTAGCAAACAACCAACCCCTGGACAACAACTCACAAGGCAATTGATGCTATGCATATTAGAGGAGCTTACTCTTCCATTGTACAGACCAACTGTTTCCAGTAAGCAGCCCGTGGGGTCATCAGAATTACACTGGGCAACGAAATGGCACCAGTAGGGGAACAGACATGTGTAGATGCAGCAGATCACAGCTACATACAAGCAGGCCTAGCTGGAGCAGCAATAGCAAGAGAGGTATGGGAAATCTATCAGCAGCAGGGCCGGCTCCAGGCACCAGCTTAACAAGCAGGTGCTTGGGGCGGCCAAGGGAGAGGGGCGGCATGTGCGGCAATTCGGGAGCGGCAGGTCCCTCACTCCCTCTAGGAGCGAAGGACCTGCCGCCGAACTGCCGCCGCCGATCGCAGCTTTTTTTTTTTC